CAAGAACAGCCGAGTGGCTTCAAGTTGGACCAGCGTACTTCCGATCAGATCTTCGCCTTACAACAGATTATTTGGAAATGGTGTGATTCGCTCATCCGGTTCACGTGTAAGTTCACATGAGCTGAAGAAACCGTATGGCCAGATCCCGCACAACATGCAGTGTGCGTGCCAACGAAAGCACGGAATCGACGGGCAGTTGCTTCGACTGATCAAGCCACTATATGCTGAGTGCAGGTGCTGCGTCAAAGTAAAAATGGAGTTAAGTCTCGAGGCCCTTCAGCGCCAAGGCTGCTTCCTGTCCCCCCTCCTGTTTGTGTTATACGTGGATAGAATGACAAGGAACTACCAAGGCGATGAGTGTTTCAGTGAAGGAGGTGTGGAGACCACAAGGTTGCTGTTTGCAGACGACTTTGTTTTATTCGCATCTTTCGAAACTGATTTTCACTGCTCCCTAGAAAAGTTCTCAACCGAGTATTAAGCGTCTAAAATCAAAGTCCGGTGTTCCCTTTCTATTAGTCGTTTGGTTCTGCGGATAAACAAAGAAACGCTGCAACAGGTTGAAAAATCAACGTGCCTCATGATCGTGTTAATTGGTGATAAGAAATGGGAGGAGGAGATTGACTGGTGAATTAAAATGCCAGCGGTGTTCTGTGTGAACTCACCCGACGTGTTGTGACTGAGTTCTCTGTGATCAAGCCGATTTCATTTTCATTTCGATGCTCACATACGGTCATGAGTCATGGCCATGACTGAGGAACTTCGATTCCGGACCGTTTACGGTTGAAGTGGACTTTGTGAGATGAGTCGTTTGACTCATGCATCTCGAACTAGTTTGGAATTCATACCTCAGAGCTTTTGGTGCAAAGCCGGTGTTTACCTCAAGTTCAGAAGTCACGGCTGCGACGGTTTTCGCACGACCTGCGAATGCCTCAAGAAGGGAACGCGATTTTGCGTTATAGCTGCTTAACCGCGATGTTGGCGATCACATGGGCAGTCGAGAATGACCTGCGACAAGTGTGTTGAAGGTCTCTACTGCAAGTTCGGGGTGTCTTCTGTCGGAACTCAAATGTTGGATCCGGATCACGAACTTTGGAGATACTGTCTGATGAGTTTGCCTCCGCGATCCTAAAAGATAAGCGGTCATCGATATTGATTGACCTACTAATATGACTGAATTTTTTCATAAACCTTCTAATACTGATAGACATCTAATCTCTACTTCACATGATTATACGAATAGTAAAACATCTGTAGTAACAATTTTAATCGTCAGCGCTTTGAACCTGTGCAGTAAAGAATTTCTTAAAGACGAAACAAAACATGTTAAATTGACTTTATGCGATAGCAATAACTACCTAATTAAATTTGTGAAATAATGCTTCAGGTCTGTAATTCTGGGCCCATAGTTAAAAAGATAGTTGTTTGAATGATTAAGGTTCATAACACCAAACGCTACAGGTGGAAAACAGTTATTGGAATAAATTCCATCACGCAGACAATTGTACTCATCCCAGCCCTGATGATGCTGCGGTCTGTCCAGTGAAACGCGTTGGCAATAAACTGTTTACCACTAGCTGTATTTGATGCCCTGAACCGTGAATCATTAAAGCAATTATCCAAATTCGTTAGCAATGTCAATTTTAAACCGTATACAACATACTTTTGGTTATTTTGTTACCGTAATTATTCCGAAGGGAATTTTTTACGTAATAAACCCTTAGTCCTTCCTTATTGTAAAAACCTTAGTGAAATATTACACAGGTTGCTTACCCCTGAGCACAATACTAACACAATAATGTTCTAAGAAACTGAATCCTTCCTTCATTGAGTAATTTATTATTCTCGTCAAATGAAACAGAAAGACGCCATTCGTCCAACAAGAGAGAGTTTCGTTCGTGTGTTGCTGATCATACTGAAAGAAAACATAAAACGCGGTTTATTAATGCACAACGCAAAAAATAATATCGTTAATCAAATGGTCGACCATATCGTTTCTTCCGCTGTGTTTCCTGGTGTTTTTATTTAATTCGTATGGAAATAATAATTTGCTAGGTTGTTTATGCGACTACGGAAAATATTACATAGCAGAATCGGGGAACTCCATCATTCAGAGAACAAAGGTCCACTTTTCAAATAAAGCATCGCCATGGCTAAGTCAAGGAACAGTGCGAAAAGATCTCCGGATCTCCGGTGTTGCACAGCATTTCGCAGCAGCACACAAAAGGTCCCAGTTGTCCAAAGGGCACGATCATCGTGAGGGAAAGACCATGTGTGAGGAGACGCGTCAAATTTGCATGAACCATTCAGTCGCGCGAAACGTCACCTATGACAAAGGATACGAGTTTTGCGCGGAGTGAATGGGTCCTGTCATCCCTGTCGCCAGGAAACAGTTTAACCAACAACACGGACCCAAAACTTACCAAGCCCAACGAACGAATAAAGGGGCTTCTGACGTCAGCAATGCATTAGATTACAGCTCTACATTTAAAGAGCCTGTGAGACATGGACCGAAACGTTTGTATTGGTCAATCACCTGATTGACCAACTCAGATTGCATTGTTTTCAAATCAAAAGTTTTTGTTCTGTTTTCAGTGCGACGACAAAGTCAACAACCAATATTTAACCTTCGGATATATCATTTTAATGGCTAGAGGAATATTTTGATCGTTTTCGGTGATGTTTCCAAAATTTATGTGCACAAACCCTCATGTGTTTACTTTACAGGATATTAGATATTAGCTTGTATGACATCCCGTATAAAAAAGCGCATAATTCTACTAAATCTAGATTTCACGACTTATTGTGTCGTCATTTAACGCATAGATTCCCACGATGTCATTTGATGCATTTTATAGGTAGGATTACCAGGATATAGTTAAACAGGACAGTCAAATATACAGAACTGATTAGGATGAGGATCACTGTAGCGACTAGACGTCGCCACTTATCAAAATGTTATTTTTCTGGTCAGTTATGGAATAGGTAAATGCTATGATAAGCCTTGACGCAGTGTTCAGTTTGAAGTCTTGTTAATGCAGGTCTCGTATGGCGTAAAGTAGTCTGCTAGCCTTTGGTCACCGATCTGATCACTTTCGGAGTAACGTTTCAAAGTTCATGACAGACAGGCTATCGCGGGTAGCGCAGCAGTTTCAGAGAATGTGCTCAGACATTCCAGCATATAGCAGCTCTCAGCTACCTCAACCTCATTTCCGTTGCCAACCTCAAACTACGTAGTGAGTGTCACCATTGCTGACGTCCGTAGAAACCAGCGACGACCCTCCTTATTCAGACGATAATCGAGGAAATCGTGGGGTGACCCAGTTGCATTCCTCTTCGATATTAGCGAGGGTTTAGACTCAATTTTATAACTTCAGTTTGCAAGACAGAATGAGTGGGGGGGAGGGGGTAGGGGTGGTAGGATTTTAACTGGGACTGGCAACTGTCAGCTACTCTGTATTGAATCCATACGGCATGCGTTAGGTCAGGACACTTTCTCTGCAGATGTCGCTACTGCGATAGCGCTGGGCGTGACTCGAGCCATCGTGACTAAGCATCAAGTGCACTATCGGTTAGTGCGGTTGTGAAAGGCATGGCGGCGCTGTATATGCACATTCCGACTCCATGCTCTGCCGTGAAGCTCGGCTGTGGTTATAATAATTTTCTCTGCGCTCTCGCAGACGCATGATCTCGAGTATTGGTCACCATTTGGTCATAACCAGAATCTGCGGCTAGACTTACAGAAGGTAAACCGCTTTATGATATTACCACTTTGTTTTCATTATTGTCTTAGAATATCGAAATAGCCGTTCAGTGTCTCAGTGAGGATAATACGTTATTTATTACATAACGGAGCGCATAAGTGATCATTTTAAACTTAATAAATCTAAGAAAGGCAATGATAGCGTGGCTTTAAAATCCAGTGTTGCAATAATGGTCATCAACGAACAGCCATTGAGCTGCCGGTAGAGCATCAAATTCACAGCCTGAAAACAGTGGCCTCAAACCCCTGTCTTTAGTGTCTAGAGGTAAATAAACAAGTATCTCTTTGTGGAATTGGAGGCAAGAGGCCATATGCTCTGCCAGCCATACAGCTTTGGGTACTGCCTTTGAGCTAAGCCAGTTCTGGCCGATCGGTTCGATGTTCGACTAGTGTAGGCACTGCGTCACTGAACACTATGGAGAAACAGTGTCGCAGACAACGTTCGTCGTAGAAATGTGTGTGAGGGGGAGATCAGCGCCCAAACGGGTACAAACTTCTTATTTCATCGGTAAACAAATAAGCAGGTCAATCAAATCACTGCGCACAGCAAACAATGTGAGCGTAGGACGGCAGCGGCAGCTTTGATAGTTGTGGTTGCGAGATTTCCGCAAGCCACCACTGGGTCGTTGCTGTATGAGTCGCCTGTGCTTCAGGCACATAATCCATCCGCTTGCCGAGGGTCGTTTTCATCGCATTGATGTAATATTCATCTCAGTACGACAAGTTTGTTAGCATGCCTTGTCCGTCAAGTTTGTACTGTTCCGTTCCCTTCCGGACGTCATTACGGAATGTTTGTAGTCTGTCGATACGGGTCGGTAATCACGGTGCCACTTCAGTGTGCTGAACGCTGTTCAATTCGTCTGTGGAATGGTGCTCGTTTCAAGCTCAGCGTTATCACCGTGGTTTTTCGTTTTGTCAGACAGTTTTTCACGTTTGACAACGCGTCCTCTTTCATGAGCCTCAGCTCAGAACACCTGCCTCGTTCGATTTTCGCCGATTACCTACCTGCCAAGCCCCAGTTCAGAGCCAAGCACGAACAAGGCTCGTCCATCGAGCAGCGTCTGCCAGACGGTCGCTTTCACGCTAGAATCAACACTGGCCCAGTCGACGACGTCCCATGTTTAATTAACGGCGTAAAGCATGTATTCACGTGTCGCAGCCTCAAGTCGCCGTGAGCACTGAGCGCTGAGGTAGCCGCGAGGACGTGTGGAGGACGTACATAACAACTGTTCCGAGGAGTTAAGCGGTCGAAACCGAAGCGATTCTCGGAGGTACATTGAGTTCACGTATTTTCCTTCTTCCGTTCTTATTTCGTCGCGTCACAGACAACGCCGGTTGCCGTGCGAGCTGTCCGTCTGAACCGAATAAATGCATTCTCACTGTTCAGTCCATTCGCAATCTGCCAACAGGCTTTGAGCACCGCATCCTCTTCACGAGGTGGCCATCGTACATTCTTTGGCAATGACCCAACCATCTTCAACGCTTTAAGCAAGCTGGTCGGTCACCTTGGATATACGTTCCAATCAGTAGCACTTAAAACCATGTCTAACGTGGCTCTTAAAGTGCTCATTTGCGTCATTTTCAGTTTTTTGGCTTCATCTATGATAAATACTACCGTCTGCAAGCTTTAGAGAAGGATGTTCGGAATACAAGCCAAGCATACCCACAGTTTCATGCTATTCCCAGAACCTTTTCTTTCCAGAGCTTAAGTAACTTGTTACTTGCCGTCAGTGCTAACTTCATTGTCACTCATCCGTCTGCAGCCAATGTACTACCGAGACACAGATGTTCTGGTCATTTTTCCCATCTTTTGTGTAGAAGGTTATAGAGTACTAGGCTAGCGGACTTTCCATTTAGTTTCGTTTGATCCTTCGTTAGAGAAGCCAAATCAGTCTCTTTTACGATCCCACAACAACGGTCTATTCATCTTTCGTTTTTCTCATTTGTACACAAAACCAGTTATAAAAATAAGCAATTTTTAAGGGTCCTTGGTAATGAAATGGACAAGTTGGCATTTGAAGTAATCACTGCATTTTCTAGGCCATATTTCATATGGTTGCAAAATGAATCTGTGCTGCACGTGACCATTCCTACGGTAAAAAATGATCCACGGTTCAAGTTGTACAGTCATCATCAGTGGAGTGTCGTTGGTATTGCGGCGCTTGCGTCAGCGAATGAATTTGAGATCAGTTCACTAGGTGCCCATTTAACGACTAAGTCTATGAGCGGAATAGGAAAGATTGTAGCTTAGGGCCAGGTGTACAGTGTTCATTCGACCGTCATCTATTGAACACGACTTCAGCCATGTCCTACTTTGCTGCCCTACGTGCAGTTAGTTCCCTAGCTAATTTTTCAGCTGAAAATTTGCAGCTCGATTATAATAGCCACTGCGATCTTCACTATTTCGTTCTAGAGTTTCGGTCATAACTGGTTTAGGTGCCTGGAACTTGTTTTCGATCCTTCTGTTGGCCATGTTCTTGTGAGATGCGACGAGGCGGCGGCAGCCAAACTTTCAGAAAGGTCTGAAACGAAAGTGGCATGTATTACCTTCTCAAAAGACTTGCCGCGGGCCGTAGGACAAGAGCTATCATATTATTCTACATGCCAGAAAGATAACCTTACTTGCTTTTATTCCAACGACTATGGATAAGGTAGCTCTTATAGCCAGTTTTAGCACTTCAATGGCGACACATCTTTGCTTTAATAACTGCCAATTTCTTAGCAAGCAGCTTTGACGAAAGATTTTCATACCTGAATAAGGCCGAATTTCATGCAATATTGACTAAAGGGATCCTGATGAATTATAGAATAATTCAGCAGCCTCAACGCTTTGCTATGATATTGCCAAATCGTAACGCTTGGGCAAACAAGTAACTCTATCTAAGTCTTGTGGAAAATGTCCAGATTTCGAGCTTCGATTGAAGCAGTTTGCAGTGGTGCATTACACCACTATTCATAATAATATGAATTACAGGT